GATGGTGTTAGATGTTCCACTTCTATGGCACAGAATTGATTTACACTTGTCTTATTATGGGTTCTCAGTCTACAGAGTAGGATCAAATTACAGACATTTTTGATTTGTGATTTTACTGGGAATAAGTCAACAAAAGGGCTGTATCAGTGTGATCCATAAGCCAAAATCATTTTGATTGAAAACTTGACTGTTCGTCATTCACATTTCGTTGTTTCCCCCAGTTAGTAGTTTTTATTATCAGTACTATAATATTTTTTTGGAAATGGACTGTGCCTTTGTGCCTAAGAAAGTCTAGGCTGTTGTGGGTGCTTTTGCATATTAAATTAACTGTAAATATGTAGTGCGCTAAACCAACGGCATGGCTTAATACGTTGCACAGTATTTGAATGTATATTACACGCAAGTTGTGAGATACAATTGCTGGCATTTCCTTCTAGAACCAGCCCAACCACAACACACTGCAGTAAAGTCTGTTAATGATGAAAATCCTACACAGACATTAGTTATTCATTTTTTTGCTTAAAGGGCTACAGTGTTCAAGCCTTCAGTTTGAGTGAACATGCTGCTTTATGGGACTGTTGAGGGTCCGTGGTGAAGGATTGTGCCAAATTTCAGTATTCAGAAGTGCAGTTTTTGTGATTCTTGGCCTTTTGGTGGCCCAGAGCTACTATTTCATGCTTAGATCCGTCTTTCTCAATCTCTACCATAGCTGTCATAACTCAAAAGGTTTGAGTGATAGATGGTAATTCCTTTTCAGACACCTTTTCAAAAAGCTTTTCTCGCAAAAGATGATAGCAACACATCATCTGCTTTGTGGGAAAGCTATGAATCAGACCGTCAGTGAACTTCCGCTATGGGCCATTGCCAATCTCAGATCTTACAGGCTTTCTTTTGCTTTTATTTGCCAATCTACTATACAAATGAATGATCTTAATGCATGTCATGTTTTTAAAAAACGCTTTTAGGAAGTTGTGACTTTTGTGTGTTGGTACTTTATCAAAGCTCTTACACAGGATGTCTGTTTATAGACATGTCTGGTTCTTGGTATACGTTTCCATTCCTTGGAACACATATGGGGCTTATTATTTTGGTTGTTTACAAATAGTAACATAGTGAATTCTATAATCTAACTTATAAATCGATTGTTTTTTAAATTATTATTATTATTAATTTTTTTGTTTAGATGATGCTTGTTGATGCATTTGAAATGGTGTGCATTTTGAATTAGATACAACATTAGTCTTAACCCTTGTTTGAAATGCACTTTTGGCACAGGTTGGCTTTAATCGTTTTAAACAGTGTTAATGCCATAGCTACTACTAGGAATCATTTGTCCTCAATTGTTTGTCATGTTTAATGTAATTTGAATTGACAATAAATCAGTTTTTTAAAGAAAAGCCCTTGTCTTTGTTTCTTTTTGACTGATAAATCATTGATTTTTCTCAATGAATTGGATTAAAAGACTGCATTTGAGATGCTTCTTTATCACATCTCTAAATTAATAATCTAATCAAATTTAAACCAGCTAAAAGGAAACGAGACAGGAGCATAATATAGCAATGCATTAAGTAACAGCAGGTCTGCAGATGTCGTTTAGGAAATAAGTAACTTTTGTCATATTAAGTGATTTAGAAAATTGTATGGATCCAAGGTAAGTAACAAGAAGCAGATTAGTACAATAAATAGAAAAAAATCTATTTGCAGCCAATAGGGCCTATTATTTTGATGTTCTATTATATTGCATTTGCTCCAACATCATAATGAGCAATGTTTTAGAGAATGCTGATATGGCTTTTATGTAGCTCTTGTGCCACTTACTTTCAATAAGGACAAAAGATGGTTTCAAAGCATGTGCTTCTCTCACATGACTGTTTGGTCAAACATTTTTAGTGTATGCATATTGATAATATGGATCTATATATGAGAGTGTGTGAGAGTAAGTTCCTCTGCTCTCTGTCTTTGTCTCAGGACCACAGGCGCCCTTGGGGGCAAGTTTTGGCACTCCCTTTTCCTCGGGTATTGGCACTAGCATGGGCTCATCCAGCCTCGGAGGTACTTGCTGTGATAAACCTCTCCTCTTCCTTTCTATCTCTGCATTCTTAAGGCTTTCAGTCTCAATCTTAAAAAGACAGTTCCCCCAAAAATTACAAATCTATTTTTTTTCTTTAGTTTTGTAAAAAAAAAAAAAAAAATTGTAGATATCCATGAAGATCAACTGTTTGTAGTGACCATAGCTTGTAAGCCCCATGAAATTAGTCTGTACATCTCGTGTTCTCCAAGTCTTCTGAATCCATATTATGGTGGTTAGATGTATGAGAGAAAAAAATATTTAGTATAAGTCATTACTGATAATCTTCCCCTATAGTGAGCTGTAAACTATGGAAGCTTATTTCACCATGGAGTGAAAATATTATAAAGGTAATTGACTTCCTCACAATTACGAGTTTATTTCTCACAATTCTGACATCTTGCAATTCTAACTTTTTTTAATAACTGGGAGTTTGTCACAATTCAGACATTTTTTTAAATTGCAAATTTATATCTTGATTTGGACTTTCTTCTCAGAATTGAGTTAACCTTGCAATTCTGATTATTTTCTTAGAATTGAGTTTGTATTGAGAATTGAATTCTGAGTTTTTTTTCCTCACATTTCTGAGGGAAAAAGTGTGAGATGAAAAGTTAAAATTACTTTTATTTTTTAGTTACGTGGTGGAAATAATTTTCCATAGCAAACTCGAGGCTCTTCGAACAGATTCAGTGACTTAAGAAAAAGATCAGTCTTAATTCATAGATCTTTGGATCCAGCTCCTTTTAAGTGAAACATGTCCAGTTCGCAATTTGTATTCATTGATTAATTCACAAATGAGAGGAAAATTATCTTAAATGTTGGTCTTTTCCTCACATAAAAACTATCGTTTGGATTCAGAAGATGCTTAAAATAATGTGGAAGTAATTTGAACCACTTGTATTGTGCTTTTTGGTGGGTCTATAAAATAGTTGTTTTGCAAAAATACAGAAAATAAATAATACAAGATATGGTATGATGGCAAATTCCTGTAGATCTAAGATTTGGCACTCTTGTTTTAAAAACAAACAAGAATCTTTTTTTATTGTTTAGGTTGTATATAGAACTTGTATTTTTCACATTTCCCTAACCATATTTTTCCTTCGTCAGTTTTTCCTAGTTAATCTCAAATATAACTCATCATTCATTCCTGTCCCCCATCTCCCCGCCCTGTGACTGAGAGTTTATCTCTGGAAAGTATGTAGTCGCAACACCTAAATGCCCCCCATCTGTCTCTCGGCAGCATTTGGTAGCGGCCCTGGGTTTGGGGGCGTGGCAACAGGAGGTTTGTCATTCGGGTTTTCCTCTAGCAAGCCATCTGGAGGGAGCCTGAGCGCAGGTGTGTTCGTTAGCACCCTCCTCCATCTTACCCGCTTTTGTCAACGCAAACAATTACTAACAGCTTCCCCCTTAATTATAATCATCCTTTCCCCCAGAATGCATCAACGTCATGCTGCTTAAGGGCAAGCGCTGCATATCAGAGAGTTTGAAATGTAAAATTTGCATGGTTTATTTGTTAATTGACATGCTTAAGTGCTTGTTGGGTGCAGTAAAGGTTGAGAAAACGTAAAATATTTACTGCTCACATTTTAAAATCTTTGTTTCTCAGGGTTTGGAACATCTAACACCTCTGGCTTCAACTTCAGTAACCCCGGCATCAATGCATCCGCTGGATTGACCTTTGGCGTTTCCAACACACAAACTCCTGGATTTGGGACAGGAGGGCCACTGCTACAGCTCAAAAAGCCACCAGCAGGAAATAAGAGGGGCAAAAGATAAAACAGCAAGTCTATATAGGGGTAAAGGGAAATGCCACGAGGTAAAGATGATGTGTGTCTCAGATCTTTATTTTTATATATGTGTGTGTATATATATATATATATATGTATGTGTGTATGTGTACATATACATATACATATACATATATATTTTCTCTGTTGGATGCCCTTGAAGGATTTTTGAGATTCTGTTCGGTTCTCCCTTTTACCGTTGTGACTATGCTGTGTTTGTTGCCCGAATTGCGTAAGATCTAATGGAGCATATTTTGTGATGCATAGAATACCCGTGAAGGGATTCAATGTAAATGCTCTCGATAATGAAGATACTCAAACTAAGTTTACCTGTGTCTTAGTGGCTTTATTTTAAATCACATGTTCTGTGATTGTAAATGTGTCATCCCATCCCATTACCATGACATATGTTTATTGTTTTTCTGGTTACTTGTACCAAATAGATGTCAACCTGTATAAGAATGTTCAGCTTGTATACTCATTTTTGTTTCTGTCTCCTTTTGTTACCAAATAGTGAAAAAAATTTCTATACTTCAGCAGACTTTGTGCAAACAAGTATTTTTCGACTTGAAAGAAGTGTTTGTTATTAAAAGAAGCAGCAATGATAATGTCTTGAGTCAATTTGATTTGTTTTTGTTTTTTACTGAAATAATATTGTATGTATTAGGAGTACGACAGATGCAGTTCATATTTATTATTAAAACATTTATTATATAGTGTATTATTATAAATAATTTAAGTAACTTATATGTGTAATACTATTTAAAACACCGAAAATAAGTAGTAACGCAAACTAACCCTATCTGTGGTAGACTGGCGCGAAATTAAGAATCCTACTATGAAAACAAATAATTTATTTAGCCTTTTCGACGTTCAGGCGAGTAACCTAATATTAACTTGCGCGCCGTTGATTCGCCAGTAGACTGGCGCCCGCTTAGCAACGTCTGCTTTTCAGCCAATCATGTAAGTCTACTGGGTAAACGTCGTGCAACGTCATGAATATTCATAACCAGCCCTTCGTGGTTCAACCGGTTCACTAAGAAGAACCGGTTAAATTGAACGATTCGTTCGCGAACCGGTCATCACTACTTCGCCGTAGAACAGCGAATGGGAGGCGGGGTAAAGGCAGAGCCGAACCGGCGGGGTTGGTGGGGCACGGATGGACAGATCATATCCCTCCTTTCTCTTTTGTAGTCAAGGAAGGAGAAAGATGGCGCCTACACATGTACTGAGATGCTGCCAGAGGGGTCTGGCGTGGATACCGGTGATATTTATTGCCTTAGTGGTGTGCTGGTCGTATTATGCGTACGTGGTGGAGCTGTGTCTGTGTAAGTGCGCTTTATTATTCATATTTGAGGGGCACGCGCCTTCCGGAAGTAACTGAACTGAAACATCAATGAATGGTTTGTTTACATGAGCTGGCTAATTAGCGTACTGATTTTAAACTGGAAGCAAAACAACAAGGATTATGGATTTGGAGCATATGTTGTGCTTTACACCGTATTCAAGATAAGGAAGTCTTTATAAACTGGGTGGTGACAACTGTATTCGTTTATTTTGCAGTTAATCATTTTTAATGTAAATTAATATGTATATTTAGTCATGCAACATTATATTATTATAAAATAATAGTTACAGTGTTACAGTAGGAAACCTGTGAAAGGTTTAGTGACGCGTCCAGGTTCTTCCTCTTTAGAAATCAGGTTTGTTGAAAATTTATTTTTTCAGTATGGAAAATATGCTTGTTATAAGTTTATAAACATGTTAACAAAGTCAAGCCTCAAGTCTTCTGTCACATGTCCAAGTAAAGTGTATTTCATATTTCAGCTTTGTTCATAGAAGCAGAAGTTCATAGAAATAGAGTCATATCTGCTAAACAGTTTCTTTTCTCTTTCTGTTTTATATTCTCTGCAGTTACTATTCCCAGCACTCTTGAAAAGGGTGAGTAAACCTTCACTTTTTTTTAAGGAAAAAGCCAAGTTAAGGATAATGTACAGTCATGATGTTGCATCACCTTTAAGGTGTTTATATGCTGACTGTATATAATCCAGTTTCTTCCTCATTAGTTTACTATATATATATATATATAATTTAAATTTTTTTTGTAAATTAATGAGGAAGAAACTGGAAACTGCATAAATGTGTGTGTGTGTGTGTGTGTGTATATATATATATATATATATATATATATATATACACGCATTTATGCATTTGCATTTTGCCAGACACTTTTATCGAAAACAGTTTACATTGCATTCTACATTAAATAAATTAATTTAAATTTTAAACATTTTAAATAAATAAATGCATAGAAAATATTGATTTGAGTTGAAATTATTTTATTATATAATAAAAATAATGCATGGAATGATACAGGAGGCATAAATTGGGACAACGGTTTTGACCAATGACCAACTGGCCAATCAGAATCAATTATTTAAAAGACCCTTGTAAAAAATCTTCTTAAATTCACAAACCAAATAACTGTTCAATATATTATACCAAGGAAAATAATTTATTTCAAGAGTTAAAGATATTTGTATATATGTTTAGAAAGGGACAGAGTCTCATTGGCACAGTTGTCAGGCTATTATGGGTTTACTTGGTCCGTGCTTGTGCTGACTTCGGCCTTCCAGCACAGTCAGACTGCATCAGCAATCACAAACGTGACTGATTTATACTCTGACTGTTTCTGGCAGGCTTTTCTCTGCGGGCTCATGCAGTCTTGTTGTTAATGACTGTACTCTCTCTGTTCCATGCAGTTGTCTACCTGGCTGTGTTTCATGTGTCGTTCATCATGTTTGTGTGGTCGTACTGGAAAACCATCTTTACAAGACCAAGCACCCCTTCCAAAGAGGTACAGCGGGTATAAAACAAACAGTTTTATTTGTTTTGTACGTGCAGCCCATGGTAACATGCCACACAGGTGATATGCATATTAACATGTTAATCCAGGCATTATGAATAAATGCACACAATATTTATTTGTTTCGATGTAGTGAGTGTTTTATACGTATCATTTTACGCACTATTGTTGTTAAAATGGAACATGCTGCTGCTTTGTCACACAGTGAGCTGATTGCTTTGTATTGTGTGTCAGTTCTGTCTACCCAAATCTGAGAAAGAACAGTATGAGAAGGAACAGCGTCCAGAAACTCAGCAGGAGATCCTGAAGAGAGTGGCCACCAGTCTGCCCCTCTACACCCGCACCGGGGCAGGAGGTTAGAGACTCTCTCAAACACATGAAAAAAGATGTAATAAGAAATTACCCACAAGATTGTACCTCAAGGGCCTGAGCACCAGATTCAAGCAGACACAAGTTTAGCCATTTTATTGAGTGAGATGTGTTTTAAACTTTAAAGGGGTCCTATTATGCTTTTTCACTTTTTCAACTTTAGTTAGTCTGTAATGTTGCTGTTTGAGCATAAAAAAGATCTGGAAAGTTACAAAGCTCAAAGTCCAATTTGAAAGGAGATATTTTATTTAACAGAAATCACTTTTCAAAAACTACAACGAAC